ATAACCTGTTTTGCAGAGCATCGAATTTTCAATAAAAGATGACACGAATTGTCACTTTTAATTCACTTGTCGCTAAGTTATACCTAAAATAAAACATTTTTAAAAATTTCGAAATTTTTTTCATGCTATTTCCTGATTAAGCTTTTATTGAATTGCGTACTATCAAAAAGTTAATATTAAGAGCTAAAACTTTTAGAGAATTTTTTTTTATTAATTTGGAAGCATTTACGTCTCTGGGAGCAATAAAAATCGAAAATGTCAATATTAAAGACTACCCTATTATTTATATATATATATATATATATATATATATATATATTATATATATATATATATAGACTATATATATATATATATATATATAGACTATATATATATATATATATATATATATATATATATATATATATATATATATATATATATATATATATATATATATATATATATATATATATATATATAGACTATATTTGATAAAATGCATTTTTTTTAAATATTTTATTTTCAGCAGAAATCCAATTCTGAGAACAGGGGTCCTTAAAGACATTTCAAAAACAAAGTAAACAACTTACTGCAACAAAAAGTCGACTTAATATTATAAAACATACATAAAATCCAAGGACATAAATGTTACAAGTAAATGAAAACTATTTAAAGAGTACAAGGACAAATATGGTAGATTTTTGGTTAAATCTAATTGGACTTTAGTGCGTTTTGTGAACCAAGTGTTTTGTTTATAGTGTTGTGCAAGACTTTGCAAATAAGTTTGACCACAAAGACTTGACCAACTAATGAATCTTGAATGCAATAGACATTTTAATTGTTAATATCTAAGGTTCTAATTTTACCAGATGTTAGGAATATTAAACCAGAAAATGGATTTCTATGGAAACTCGCGATGATAAGGACCCCGTAATTGACCCCAGTCTCAAAGATGATTTTAATAGAATTTCTTGCCAAAAACCAAATAGAATTACTAGACTGGACTTTATTCCTTTATGAAGTCAAAATATGCCAAGATTTACAAGGACCAACAATAAGAGTGGAGATGCAAAAGAAAAAACAAATCTCTATGTATGTTATAGTTAGTGGTGATCATTATGTATATGAGAATTATTAAAATCCATCTAAGTTCCATTAGTGATGAACAACAGTATTCAAAAAGAACTTCATTTGTGGTCAAATCATTTGCCTGGTGTCGCAGTGATGATTTTTTCTCGATTTTTGAGCGATTTTTTTAATCCGATTAATTTTTGTTTATCGTTTTTTAGTGTTTGTGTAGTGTTCTAGCTAATAAAGCTAATAAAGGCCTTTAAAGTGCGTTAGTGAAGTGATAGTGTATAGTTTTTGTTTCTGGTTCCTGGTTCCTCGTTTTTGGTTCTTGGTTTCCGGTTAGCTCTCTTCTGGAAATCACGAGGTAATGCACCAATTTTTTAGCACAAATTAATACTTCATAATTTATTGCAAAATTATCATTTTTTCTCTATTTTTCAGACAACAAATTGGTAATCGGGATGTTCCAGAAGAATCGGTGATTTTAAACAAAGGTCAGTGCATTTTCATTTCTAGGCATGATTTCTAAGGGTACGGTCACACGTCGATAATTTTGTCTTATAGATAGGTCGAACCGCAAACTAGGTTATAAATAGGAGATTTTTGTATGATTATATAATTAACTGATTATATAATTATTTAGTGTGGACAAAATTGTGACCGTATCCTTCACTAATCCACTTTATTTCAGCTTAATAAAAATGACTTCTTAAAATAAAAGTGAGTGTATAGGTAATTAAATCCGCGTAAATTATTTAAAAAAAAGTGCCAAATAAATCAATTTGCATAATTTCGCGTAAAACAAAGTGTGTGTGTGTGAAAAACTAGACTCTGGGCAATTTTGCGAAGAAATGCTGATATCCATGCAGCTTGAGGTAAGAACCAGTAGATGTATCAGGTTTTATTTAATTTATAAGTGATTTATTTTTTTCACTGGAAAATTGTAAGCATAATAATGATCGTAACTAAAATTGACAAATGCACATTTATTTGTAAGAGTTAGTTTAAGATTTGTTATAAATTATCAAAAACAGATTATGGATTAATTGTTAACGAAATAGATTTTTAAAGACTTTGTAAATATCTTACAAATACATGTCCAAAAAAATGTCACAATAACTACTTCTAAAAATGCACCTCAAGTTGTGCCACTTGATGATGTATCAAATATTTATAAATTATCAGAGGCGAATTTAGAAAGACATAAACTAAAAACTAAAATATTTTTGGTTTAAATTCTATTTATATTTTTAGTTCTAATTTGATTCATTTTCAGTACATGGAAAAAATATAGCCTAATTTAAAATAAAAACAGGATAATAAATATATAAAAAAATTTATGATACATAATAAAACATATTTCTGCGACCATTCAAAATACAAAAAATGTATATATTTATATGATGCGTGCAATTTGAAAACTTTTATTGAGCATAATATTTTAGAAGACGAATGGAGATATTCTTATAGCATATAAATATTCAGGTCACGTACCACATTGATCTTAGAGCAAATGTTTTCTTAAACCATTGTATAAAAAAGCTATGTCAGTGTCGTCTGCATGTCAGACTGAAGTACTCCGAAAGATCCAATGACAATTTTGCAGATATCTTTTAGAACGTGACTTTTAATCTATATTTAGATTGCATTAGAATTCTGTAAAATATTTAGTAAAGTACAATTTTCAGATTCGTTTCAGTTTTTACAGACGTCGCGAACTTTTATTAAGACAATGTTTCTTTATAAACTCTTACTATATTTCCTTTAGAAAATAAAAATGGATGCACCTTTATTAAATATGCAGAGGTTTCACAAGAGACATAACAAAACTCTTCGATGCTCATATTGTACATTTAAATATTTTTTTAAAAATAGGAAATGCTTTTTATTTAGCTTTTAGTAACTTCACTCTTTACATTTTATAGCATGAAAATACCGGTTTTGGTTGCAGAGCTATTTTTCATAAAAAAAACATCTCTTAAGATTGTTTTAAGATGTATGATAAATAAAAAATCTCTATCGAAGAAAATGTAGATATAACAAAACACACCTTTTAGTTTCTGTAGAAAAATAAAACTTTTCTAAAGTATATTTAAAGTTAACTATTGAATTATATGGAAAATATAAAAACCTCTTCTTTTCAAAAATAGACTGAAGTGTAGAACGAGTCGTAATAAAACTTACTCGTATTCATAATTACAAACAAGGTAATTTTTGATACATCAGATAAAAATACATAGCATGGTTTATTTCAAGAGAAAACTTTTAAAGACACGATTAGGGAGTAAATCTGTAAAAATGCAACGGAAGTTGCGTTACGTCTAAACAGTTCGACATTCGCCCTCGATGAAATCATTTCTATACGGGTTGACTGTGATTAGTCTAAATGTTTGCATAACGAGTGTTATATTACTAATAAACATTATTCCAATTTGTTATATTATGTATTTGTGTTTAACTTAAATGTCATCTCGTACAGTAGCAAAAAAGTTTTACTTCAATCGCGTGTGAACTTTACGCGCACTTTTTTTTCACACAAACGTAACGAGACGACACATAATAAAATTCTCTTATTTTTAAACTCAAATATATTTGTTACATATTTCCGTAACAAAATCTGTTTTCAACTTAGCTCTTAAAATTAACATCATGATCTAGTTTCCTCAGAAAACTGGAGCTCTACTAATATAGGTAGAGTTTCATGTTCCAGAATGTAAAAAGAATAGTCTCTTTATCAAAGAATTCATATGTAACACATATATAATACATATATGCATTATATGAAGTAAACTTTGAAGAGATCTGCTTTGAAGAAACTTCTATATAAAATCTGTTTAGACTAAGCTAAGATTTAGAGCTTTTAGTAAAATAATAGTTTTACCTTGCTTCGGTATAGCGTTTTTTCATTTTATCCCAGATATTCTCTAAAATATGAATAAAATCGCGGAGGAAAGAGTAGAATTAACGAAACAAACAGGTTTACATGAGGTAATTGTTAAAGTTGTCGAATAAATAGTTTCTAACGATGATCTTAAGTAATTCACTAAATAAAAAAAAAATTGATAGAAGTGATTTCGAGAAAGATAAAACAGAATTTTTTTATAAGGTTTGTGAATAGGTCTTTGACTACTAAGACAGAAATTGCAGACGAATTTACTGAAAAAGAACTAGCAGGTGTTTGGAAACACGCCTTTTTCTTATAGGTGCTTTATCCAATTATCAACTTCTAAAGGAGTGAAGCAAAAACGCAAACTACATTAGATGCTTTCCGACAAAAATACAAACTATTGGAAATACAGAATATATTGGATGATCTAAGGCAGGGCTTGAGGACCCCATTTATGATGACGCCGGGCGACTTTCTTGACGCCCCACGCCACGTGTTCTTTGTTTACTCGAAAATTTCTCGAAATCGAAAGATTTAATCGTTTTTAAAGCCTGATCTAGTAATTCTAAGTTTTTTGTATTTTATTTGTGGCTTCTAGGGCTAAAACTGTCTTTTTGAAGTTTGAGTATAAAAAGTCACTTCTTCAAGAAGTCACACTGATATAAAACAAAATATACATTGGTATAAAAATCTGCATTAATATATGGAATAGACAAAAGATAACACAAAACGTTTTTGAAAACCATAACAGACTGATATGATTCCAAGAATCAGAACGCTTGCACCTATCTGGTATATTTGGCTATATTAGTCATTTTTCACTTATACAGTGAAAACCGAGTTTTTCCACTAAAAAACGGTTCTCAAATTTCAAAATTATCATCTGAAAACCGGTTTTTGAAAACAAACCCTAGAAATGTGGCAATGCCTCAGTGACACCAATATCTTCAACGTTTCCTATTCCATTTTATCAAAAGAATTTGATAAAGGAATGCCTCTCTATCAAAGTAAATATATGCAGAAATGTAACAAGAGAACATAACATAACAGAACTCACCCATATTTGTAGTTTGACTCTTTTGTCGTGTCGGAAAACGGTCTTCACTTTGAAGTCGATGCCGACAGTCGATACAAAGGCCGACGTGAAACTGTCGTCCGCGTAACGAAAGAGGAAGCTAGTTTTTCCAACCGATGAGTTGCCTATGATCAACAATTTGAACATATAGTCGAAGTTCTGATCCGACGCGTCTTTCTGATGCCATTTTGGATCTCCACCGCCAGCCATCAGACTGAAAAAATAACACGTCAATAAGTACTATACATTATAAAATAATTTATGAGCTACTAAGCTACAACCCTATCATTGATATTTATCTTTGAACCTAAATCACATTTTATAAGACATTAAAGTTTCAACTACAACCAAAAATAAGGATTTCTTTTTCTCTCTTATCAATCACCATCAGAACACAAATGCTATAAATTATTTTGGTATACATTAGTTACATATAATTATAGATAGATACGCCAGTGGGTAATTACTATCACATACAATTTATTGGATTAAGTTAATTGGCCATAATTTAAGTTTTCTAAATTCTGGTGCAAAAAGCCGCGGAGCAACTAGTAAATTAGGATCGGTAAATTGTGATGGTGATTGGTCGATCTTGTTTTTGAAAAGTCTTCAATGTATAGCATATTAAGATCATCGTGCAGAATTTTAATGCATCCCCAAAGCTCTATCCCATATGACGAAACTTGAATTATTATTGTTTTTAAACTAGGATTTTATTCATGTACTAATTTTGAATTATGTCCTATGAGCCAATAGTTCTATGGATTCGCTCACTCCGGGTTTGATAGATTTAATTAACTTCCCGTAGGGTAAGTTATAGTAATCGCAAAAAAATCGAAAACGAAAATTTTTATATATCTTTACGTTTCAGAGGTTTCTGAATATTTTGGCATACCTTAGAAAAAAATGGATGTATGTGTGTGTGTGTGTGCGCGCGTATGTATGTGTGTGCGCGCGTATGTATGTGTGTGCGGATACAAATTTTCGTCGACGATTTTGAGAACACAGATAAAGCAATTTGAATAATTCGAAAAACATTCGATTCGTATTGATAAGAAGACGTGCTGATTAGTTTTTGGCGGAGGCAGGCCCAGCCGTTCCGAAAGATATGGGGCAAAAAGTGCCAAAAACGGTACCTCAGTTTTTAAGAGAACGGAGCGTCCGATTTTAATAATTCAAAAAACATTTTACTTGTATTGACAAGATGAAGAATTGATCAAATTTTCATAAGGGCAGGTCTAGCGGTTTTGCCGATCTAACGAAAAAAGTAAAAAAAAATGCCATTTGGCGGTCAAAAATGATCATTAGGCATATGCACATCAAATTATCAGATATTTTATAGAGATTTTTTACAAGAAGTATGAATTTTGTTTACATTCCTATGGGTTCCGTACCAATGTTTATCCGTTAGACGGTGACGCGGCGCTTACGCGCTTTGACATTTCGTCTCTATGCAATTAAAGCAGTACGATTGCTTTGAAAACAAGATAATCGGAAGTCCGGATAATCGATAGTCCGGATAATCGATAGTCCGGATAATCGATAGTCCGGATAATCGATAGTCCGGATAATCGAAAGTCCGGATAATCGAAAGTCCGGATAATCGAAAGTCCGGATAATCGATAGTCCGGATAATCGATAGTCCGGATAATCGAAAGTCCGGATATCGAAAGTCCGGATAATCGAAGTCCGGATAATCGAAAGTCCGGATAATCGAAAGTCCGGATAATCGAAAGTCCGGATATCGAAAGTCCGATAATCGAAAGTCCGGATTCGAAGTCCGGATAATCGAAAGTCCGGATAATCGAAAGTCCGGATAATCGAAAGTCCGGATAATCGAAAGTCCGGATAATCGAAAGTCCGGATAATCGAAAGTCCGGATAATCGAAAGTCCGGATAATCGAAAGTCCGGATAATCGAAGGTCCGGATAATCGAAAGTCCGGATAATCGAAAGTCCGGATAATCGAAAGTCCGGATAATCGAAAGTCCGGATAATCGAAAGTCCGGATAATCGAAAGTCCGGATAATCGAAAGTCCGGATAATCGAAAGTCCGGATAATCGAAAGTCCGGATATCGATCGTCCGGATAATCGAAAGTCCGGATAATCGAAAGTCCGGATAATCGAAAGTCCGGATAATCGAAAGTCCGGATAATCGAAAGTCCGATAATCGAAAGTCCGGATAATCGAAAGTCCGGATAATCGAAAGTCCGGATAATCGAAAGTCCGGATAATCGAAAGTCCGGATAATCGAAAGTCCGATAGAAAGTCCGGATAATCGAAAGTCCGGATAATCGAAAGTCCGGATAATCGAAAGTCCGGATAATCGAAAGTCCGGATAATCGAAAGTCCGGATAATCGAAAGTCCGGATAATCGAAAGTCCGGATAATCGAAAGTCCGGATAATCGAAAGTCCGGATAATCGAAAGTCGGATAATAGAAAGTCCGGATAATCGAAAGTCCGGATAATCGAAAGTCCGGATAATCGAAAGTCCGGATAATCGAAAGTCCGGATAATCGAAAGTCCGGATAATCGAAAGTCCGGATAATCGAAAGTCCGGATAATCGAAAGTCCGGATAATCGAAAGTCCGGATAATCGGAAGTCCGGATAATCGGAAGTCCGGATAATCGGAAGTCCGGATAATCGAAAGTCCGGAATAATCGAAAGTCCGGATAATCGAAAGTCCGGATAATCGGAAGTCCGGATAATCGAAAGTCCGGATAATCGGAAAAGGTCCGGATAATCGAAAGTCCGGATAATCGAAAGTCCGGATAATCGAAAGTCCGGATAATCGAAAGTCCGGATAATCGAAAGTCCGGATAATCGAAAGTCCGGATAATCGAAAAGTCCGGATAATCGAAAGTCCGGATAATCGAAAGTCCGGATAATCGAAAGTCCGGATAATCGAAAGTCCGGATAATCGAAAGTCCGGCGCTTACGCGCTTTGACATTTCGTCTCTATGCAATTAAAGCAGTACGATTGCTTTGAAAACAAGATAATCGGAAGTCCGGATAATCGAAAGTCCGGATAATCGATAGTCCGGATAATCGAAAGTCCGGATAATCGAAAGTCCGGATAATCGAAAGTCCGGATAATCGAAAGTCCGGATAATCGAAAGTCCGGATAATCGAAAGTCCGGATAATCGAAAGTCCGGATAATCGAAAGTCCGGATAATCGAAAGTCCGGATAATCGAAAGTCCGGATAATCGAAAGTCCGGATAATCGAAAGTCCGGATAATCGAAAGTCCGGATAATCGAAAGTCCGGATAATCGAAAGTCCGGATAATCGAAAGTCCGGATAATCGAAAGTCCGGATAATCGAAAGTCCGGATAATCGAAAGTCCGGATAATCGAAAGTCCGGATAATCGAAAGTCCGGATAATCGAAGTCCGGATAATCGAAAGTCCGGATAATCGAAAGTCCGGATAATCGAAAGTCCGGATAATCGAAAGTCCGGATAATCGAAAGAAGTCCGGATAATCGAAAGTCCGGATAATCGAAAGTCCGGATAATCGAAAGTCCGGATAATCGAAAGTCCGGATAATCGAAAGTCCGGATAATCGAAAAAAAGTCCGGATAATCGAAAGTCCGGATAATCGAAAGTCCGGATAATCGAAAGTCCGGATAATCGAAAGTCCGGATAATCGAAAGTCCGGATAATCGAAAGTCCGGATAATCGAAAGTCCGGATAATCGAAAATAATCGAAAGTCCGGATAATCGAAAGTCCGGATAATCGAAAGTCCGGATAATCGAAAGTCCGGATAATCGAAAGTCCGGATAATCGAAAGTCCGGATAATCGAAAGTCCGGATAATCGAAAGTCCGGATAATCGAAAGTCCGGATAATCGAAAGTCCGGATAATCGAAAGTCCGGATAATCGAAAGTCCGGATAATCGAAAGTCCGGATAATCGAAAGTCCGGATAATCGAAAGTCCGGATAATCGAAAGTCCGGATAATCGAAAGTCCGGATAATCGAAAGTCCGGATAATCGAAAGTCCGGATAATCGAAAGTCCGGATAATCGAAAGTCCGGATAATCGAAAGTCCGGATAATCGAAAGTCCGGATAATCGAAAGTCCGGATAATCGAAAGTCCGGATAATCGAAAGTCCGGATAATCGAAAGTCCGGATAATCGAAAGTCCGGATAATCGAAAGTCCGGATAATCGAAAGTCCGGATAATCGAAAGTCCGGATAATCGAAAGTCCGGATAATCGAAAGTCCGGATAATCGAAAGTCCGGATAATCGAAAGTCCGGATAATCGAAAGTCCGGATAATCGAAAGTCCGGATAATCGAAAGTCCGGATAATCGAAAGTCCGGATAATCGAAAGTCCGGATAATCGAAAGTCCGGATAATCGAAAGTCCGGATAATCGAAAGTCCGGATAATCGAAAGTCCGGATAATCGAAAGTCCGGATAATCGAAAGTCCGGATAATCGAAAGTCCGGATAATCGAAAGTCCGGATAATCGAAAGTCCGGATAATCGAAAGTCCGGATAATCGAAAGTCCGGATAATCGAAAGTCCGGATAATCGAAAGTCCGGATAATCGAAAGTCCGGATAATCGAAAGTCCGGATAATCGAAAGTCCGGATAATCGAAAGTCCGGATAATCGAAAGTCCGGATAATCGAAAGTCCGGATAATCGAAAGTCCGGATAATCGAAAGTCCGGATAATCGAAAGTCCGGATAATCGAAAGTCCGGATAATCGAAAGTCCGGATAATCGAAAGTCCGGATAATCGAAAGTCCGGATAATCGAAAGTCCGGATAATCGAAAGTCCGGATAATCGAAAGTCCGGATAATCGAAAGTCCGGATAATCGAAAGTCCGGATAATCGAAAGTCCGGATAATCGAAAGTCCGGATAATCGAAGTCCGGATAATCGAAAGTCCGGATAATCGAAAGTCCGGATAATCGAAAGTCCGGATAATCGAAAGTCCGGATAATCGAAAGTCCGGATAATCGAAAGTCCGGATAATCGAAAGTCCGGATAATCGAAAGTCCGGATAATCGAAAGTCCGGATAATCGAAAGTCCGGATAATCGAAAGTCCGGATAATCGAAAGTCCGGATAATCGAAAGTCCGGATAATCGAAAGTCCGGATAATCGAAAGTCCGGATAATCGAAAGTCCGGATAATCGAAAGTCCGGATAATCGAAAGTCCGGATAATCGAAAGTCCGGATAATCGAAAGTCCGGATAATCGAA